CCTGCATCACCGCTTTCCAGCTGATCGCAGGGCGGCCGCACAGGTTTAACTACATCGGTCTTAGCCTGAAGGCCGTGAAGCCACAGCCATTACTGGGCAGAGCCAAGGGCTGGCAGAGGGTGTGGGTCAGAACAAGGAAGCACCAGCCCGTCCCGGTCTCTGCAGTCCTGCCGAGTGACAGACATCAGAAGCGAAGGAGAGGAAACTGGGCTCTGAAAGCTGCTGGCGCGGTCTGCTCCGGAGTCACACTAGAACTTGGGGATGTCCTGGGAAATTGTGTCCACCCTGACCTGGCGCACTGGCCGGTTCCTGAGCAGAGGAACGAACACTGTGGTGTTATCAGAGATGATGTAGTTGGGGTTGGTCCTGCTTTGAGCAGGGGGTTGGACTAGATACCTCCTGAGGTCCCTTCCAACCCTGATATTCTATGATTCTAGTATGGGGGGGCACGTGGGGGGAGAACCCATACTGACGATGGGTGATGGGACATTGCCTGAGGCAACATGCCACTATGGGGGCCCTGTCCCTGTGGAGCCCTGCTCCCGTGGGAAGCTGGAGGTGCGAACAATGCATGAGGGAACATCTCAGACCCGAGCCCCTTCCACCAAGAGAACTTTGCACGGCCCTGGATCTGAGTAGGGGAGACTTTCCTATAAACATTGGACGTCTTCAGCACAAAACCATCAGCCAAGTCCCCACTGCTGGCCTCTCCCCAGACTCAGCCGGGACCGGATACTCCCTGGCCCACCTTCCCTTGCAGCTCCACACGCTGCGTCTCAGCCCAAGGACAGTTACAGTACTTAGACTGGATGCGTCTGAGATCACTGTCGGTCCATGCGGGGCTTGCAAACGCTGCCGCGACTGGCCGGGCGTGTGGACCTGGGAGCTGAGTGGCAGAGAAGCCCAGGCCACCTGGCACGGAGGAAGGAGCAGGCACCGTTCGGCTCCTGTAGGTTTGGCCTAAGACTTTATGCTCTGTAAATAACACAGCACGTGTAACCCGATGCAGGGCGGCGGCGCCGCATAAAGGCTTATGCACAGACTATTTCAAGGGGAGACGGCTCAGGAGATGGACGGCGCATGGGCTCCGCAGGCCGCGCGGCTGCTGTGGGCTTGTGATGAAATCGAGCCCAGCACTAATGAGCGAGGGGCCCATGACCAGCACTTAGTGTCAGGCCTGCAGCAGAGCCAGTCGCCGGGCTACCTCACGAGCACAGCTGGCCTGGAGTCGGCCGCCTGACGGGTGCACCGGCCTGGCCGGTGGGAGGAGGCAGCAGACCGACTCCTAAGCCCGGCAGCGGCAGCAGTTCAGTGGGTGCTCAAAGCGCTCACCCGGGGCTGTGATAGCCCCTGTGCTTGCCTGGGTCCAACCTGGCTCTAGATAACCTGGCTCTGGCCATCCGCCCCGATGTCTGACTCCGGCTGTGACCCTTTGCTCTGGCCCTGCCTCTGACCACGGGCTCCTAGTCCTGACTAAAACAGCGAGGAGTCCTTGTGGCACCTTAGAGACTAACACATGTATTTGGGCATAAGCTTTCGTGGGCTAGACCCCACTTCATCAGATGCATGGCGTGGGCAATACACTACGCAGAATATCTAGTCTAGCACATGAAAAGATGGGAGTTGCCTTACCGAGTGGGGGGTCAGTGCTAACGAGCCAATTCAATTAAGGGGGACGTGGCCTAGTCTCAATAGCTGACAAGAAGGGGTGAATATCAAGGGAGGGGAAATCACTTTTGTAGTGCTTAGGAGGCCAATGCAATTGCACTCAAGGTGGCCCATTTCCAACAGTTGACAAGGTGTGAGTAGCGGCAGAGGGAACGTTACATTACTGACTCCTGCCCACGTCCTGGTCTCCGACCCCAAAGCCTTTCCAAGGGAGAGCGATTTGCCCACGTACCAAACACATAATGTGAAGTTTTGTGGAGCACATTGCTGTTATTAGCAGGTATTAAGCACTGACCTTGCACCGTAGGAAGCCACAGCGTGGCTCAAAGCCAAGTAACCCCCCGGCAGGGGCTAGCATCAGGTGTTGCAGAGGAAGGCATCAGAGCCCAGCTGTAGCAACTGAGGGATACTCTGCCCCATGCCGTGAAGGCTTCCTGTCCTGATCCCTGATGGTAGAGACTGGCCTAAGCCCAGAAGCAGGAGGCTTTGTGCCCCTGCAAAATGAGTTCGCATTAGCTGTTACAAGTGGCTATTGGTTATATGCAAAATCCAATCCCGCTTTGAATCTTGCTAAATTCTCGGTTTCAATGACATCCTGTGGCAGTGAGTTCCACAGGCAAATTGGCTGTTACATGACAAAACGTTTCTTTTTAGTTCCCGTTATCTGATGTAAAGGTCCTGTTTAGTCCCTGGAGTATCCCAGCTCTGGCTCCCCTATTCTAGTCATGAGCCTTAGCCGTGGGGAACCAGCTTGGCTCAAGAAGAACACAGGTGGGCGGCTGCCTGGTATGAAGAACCCCCTGGAGATGTACCAATTGAGGGCCAAAGTTATCCTTGATGTAACTCACTAAAGCCGGCGCAGTTGCTCCAGGGATGAGTTTGATCCTGAGAGAGGAGTGATTGTGCAAAGGGGAGAGAGAGAGATGTGATTGCTGTTACAGCTAGATTCGATGTGAATTCCACTTACCCCAGTTCCCTTTCCCTGGAAATCTGAGCTCTCCGAATGCACCGTGCACCCCCAAGGGTCCTATGTTACTGCATCCCCTGCTGATTAACTAGCATGAACTCGGATTTCGGAGGATTTCCAGGGTTAGGGAGAGAAAAGGGGAGGGAAAGGGGACGTAGCCGCAGGAGACAGGAGCCACTTTGGCGCTGGTTGAGCTCTTCCTGGCGCTAGCAGCCCCGGGCGCTGCAAGTGACAGTACAAATAGTGAGGGGTACGACCGGCTGCCTCCAACCACGGGCCGCTATCAGCTTGATATACTCTACAGGGACCTTTCGGGTCCATAAACCTAGTGAGGGCTTGTCAGCTCTGCACTGTCCTTGTGTCTGTGCAGCGCCTGGCGTAATGGGGTCCAGATCTCGGCTGGAGTCTCCAGGTGCTACCAAACTATAAAGAATATGATAAAGCCTGCTAGGGGCTGCTGTAGCCGTCGAATGGGTTCAACAAAACTGTAGCCAATCACTCGACTGTGAATTGTCAGTCGGATGGAAGATACCTTCGGCGAGTAAGAGAATCTCTAATGGAACTGCCAGACTGGCTCAGACCCAGATGCTTTGGAGGAAGGTGTAAAAACCCGGCAGCAGTAGATGTTGGATAATCTGACCCCACGGAGGGCTCATCCTGTTCTGTAATAATCAGCTATTGGCGTAAGCCCTGAAGCAGGACTCTACCATGATTTTAGTTAGCATTAACTATTCTAACTCTAGATGGTCTTGTTGAAATGGCCAGTCTTCCTTTGAACTTTGTTAATTCCTTGGCCGCAACATCATCATGTGGCAGGGGGTTCCACAGGCTAATTACTCACTGTGTGAAAAACTTCTATCCGTTTTCAACTGCACTGTGTGTTCCCCCTCCAACCCCCTGTATCTCTGAAACTCCTTGCTTGAAAAAGCACAGACTGTCCTCCAAAGCTGTCCTCTTGCGGGAGATGCCCAGAGAGACAAGTCAAGAGGAAACGGGTATTTTAGAAGAAGTTAGAAGAACGGGGGAGGGGAGAAGTGATGATGGCGCTGGCAGCGTAATGGACAGTTGGTTCAAATCTCCGTGCTGAGCTTCGTGGCGAGATTGCACCGTGAGATGTCAGGAAAAAGGGCCCAGGCAATGATGGGCTGCCTCCACAGGGCATCCCATCATGGACAAGGGAGGGAATACAGCTCTACTGCCTGGAATATTCTTCTGGGCACCTCCTCCCCAGAAGGCGTTCAGAGAAGGGCCACAGAAATCTTCAGGGATCAGCTCCCAAGGCAAGACCTGGATCTGCTCAGCGTGGCTCAGGGAGGGGACGTACCTGACGTGTACAGGTATTTGAAATGTGCAAAGCCCCCGGAGGGGAACAGGTGACCTGGGCTGGCACCGAGCGGGTTCATGCAGAGCACTGAGGTGGGAGTAAGGAAGTGAATAAAGCAGGTGTATTCACTTTAAAGCCACTTTAAGGCTAGAGGTGTAAACGGTCGAGGGGCTTGACCGGAGTAGCTATTGCAGGGTAAATTATTCCACACTAGCGACTCTGGAAGAGCTCCAGGGGTGGATGCGCTCACTCCCTGCCTTCCGTTGGAATAGCTTCCCCCTGCAGACAAGGCCCTAGTGTAAAACAGACTCTCTCCCATAGTATTTTGTGCCCTGTAGCGGGGTGGTCACCCGCTCCTGCCTTAAAAGACTTAAATCAGCCCGGGGAGAGGACTGTGGCAGGAAAGGAAAAGCGGGGCTGATTGGGGAAAGCCAGCCTCAGCTGGGGCCACACCCCAATCAGGCCGAGGCTGGCTTAATGAGGGCCCAGCTGGCCCTTATAAGAGGGCTGTGGCCAGACACCAGAGAGAGACTCTCTCTAGCTTTGAGAGGGAGGGACCTGGCTGCAGGGAGCTGAGAGAAGGCACCTGGAGTGGAGCAGGGCTGGGGGAAGGCCAAGGGAGCTGGGGAGCTCCGGTTTGGAAAACCCCAGGCTGTGGCCTAGTCTAAGGCCAGTTAGGTACTGGGGTTGCAGGGGGCAGCCCATGGGTAGGCAGAGGCAGCCGGTCCAAACCCCCCTTGCCTATGATGAGTGGCCTATACTGCAGTCTGCCCCAGTGAGCGGGGGCTAGATGGTGACTGGCAGTAGCCCACGACTGAGGCAAGGTGGGGATAGAGGGTTGGGGGTTCCCCTGGGTGGGGAGACCCTGAGACTGCAGGGGTATTGCCAGGGGGCAGCACCCCAAAGACAAGGGGCACCGGGTCCTGGGAGGGACACGGGGGCCAGCGGCAGTGGGACACCAGCCTACAGAGGGCGCTCCAGAGGCTAGAAACACTAATTCCCAGAGACGACCAGCAGGAGGTGCCACAGGGGTGAGTCCCGCACCATCACATGCCCCCTTTGCACCAGTGCCCATGAGATCACAAGGTTCAGGGCCCCTTAGACCCTCGTCATTCCTGCAAGTTGCTGGTGAAACAGCCCTGTCCTGTCCACGCTGCTGAGTCCCTGCGTTGATACAATTGCTGCGGGTTGCATGCACCACTGCGGGTGCTGGCTCACAGGAAGAGGGAAGGTTTCGGTTCCCCATGTGGCTGAGGAATGGAATACGCCCAGCCTCCTGTACAGATGGGAAAGGAGACCAGTCGACTCACATCAGAGGCAACAGGCCGCACCAGCGTGGAGACACAGCTCTGTCAGCTTGGATCAGAATGGATTGTGCCGGCGACAGCATTAGCCAATTGCCAGGTAAGGGCCCCCCACTCTGAGTGCATGTGATGACATGAGCTGCAAACGGCTGAGTGGGTTCTTAGAGTGTTTGTTAGTGAGAATACACATGTGCAGTTGCACTTGCAAGTTACAAGGGCGATCCCTTGCTCCAGGGCATCAGCTGATCATCAGCTGAGTCAAGGAGAAAGGGTCTCCGCTGTGTGCCGCACAATGAGCGATCTACTGGAAATGTCTCTCTTCCTACAAGCCATCTGGCATTGGCCCCTGGCAGATTGGGCTGGCTAATGGTCTGGTCAAGTGCAGGAGCTGCTGGTTGTATGGGGATCTTAACCCCATTGCAGTCTCATTGATGTCAGGCGAAGGGGTGAGGCTGGAGGAGTCTGATCCGTCCATCTAAGTCTGTCTGCATTGCTAAAGTGACCATACGTGTAGAATCCAGACAATAAGGACAAATGCAAAGTCCTCCACTTAGGAAGGAACAATCAGTTGCACACATACAAAGTGGGCAATGACTGTCTAGGAAGGAGTACTGCGGAAAGGGATCTGGGGGATCATAGTGGATCACAAGCTAAATATGAGTCAACAGTGTAACGCAGTTGCAAAAAAAGCAAACATCATTCTGGGCTGTGTTAGCAGGAGTGTTGTAGACACGAGAAGTAATTCTTCCGCTCTACTCCGCGCTGATACGGCCTCAACTGGAGTATTGTGTCCAGTTCTGGGCACCGCATTTCAGGAAAGATGTGAAGAAAGTCCAGAGAAGAGCAACAAAAATGATGAAAGGTCTAGAAAACATGACCTAGGAGGGAAGATTGAAAAAACTGGGTTTGTTTAGTCTGGAGAAGAGAAGATTGAGAGGGGACATGATAAGTTTTCAAGTACATAAAAGGCTGTTAGGAGGAGGAGGGAGATAAATTGTTCTTGTTAACCTCTGAGGACAGGACAAGAAGCAATGGGCTTAAATTGCAGCAAGGGAGGTTTAGGTTGGACATTAGGAAAAACTTCCTAACTGTCAGGGTGGTGAAGCACTGGAATAAATTGCCTGGGGAGGTTGTGGAATCTCCATCCTTGGGGATTTTTAAGAGCAGGTTAGACAATCACCTGTCAGGGATGGTCTAGATCAGGGGTCTAAAACTCAAATGACCACGGGGGCCACATGAGGACTAGTACATTGGCCCAAGGGCCGCATTACTGACACCTCCCACCCCGCCGCCCTCGGCCCCGCCCCCACTCCACCCCTTCCATGAGGCCCCGCCCCAGCTCCGCTTCTTCCCACCCCTTCCCTGCCCCCATTCCAACCCCTTCCCCGAAATCCCCACCCCAAATCCACCCCTCACTGTCCCCCGGGGGTACAGGATGGGTGTGGAGTGTGGCAGGGGGTCAGGGTGCAGGGTGTGGCAGGGAGTTCAGGGCAGGGGTTTGGGGTGTGGGGTGCAGCGGGGGGCTCAGGGAAGTGGGTTGGGGTGCAGGAGGAGCACGGGGTATGGCAGGGGGTCGGGGTGCGGCAGGGGTCTCAGGGCAGGGGGTTGGGGTGCAGGAGGGGTGTGGGGTGCAGCAGGGGGCTCAGAGCAGGGGGCTCGGCTGCAGGGGGGGCAGGATCTGGCCCGGCGCACACCGGGGGCAGGGCAGGCTCCCTGCCTGCTTGCCCTGCCCTGCCCTGCCCTGCCCTGCCCCCGCTCCGGGAAGCGGCCAGAACGTGGGAAAAGAGGGGCACAGGGGTCTGTGTGTGGCTGTTGCTTCAGGCACCGCCCCCAGCAGCTCCCATTGGCCAGGAATGGGGAACCACGGCCAATGGGAGCTGCTGGGGGCGGTGCCAGAAGCAAGAGCAACACACAGACCCATGTGCCCCCCCCTCTCCAGGGGCAGCTCCAGGCACCAGTGCGCCAAGCACGTGCCTCGGGCTGCAAGCCGCGGGGGGGCGGCCTGATGATCACCATGAGGGCGGCAGTCAGGCTGCCTTCAGTGGCATGCCTGCGGGAGGTCCGCCGGTCCCGCTGCTTCAGCGGTAATTCGGTGGCGGGGACACCGAAGGCGCGGGACCGGTGACCTCCCGCAGGCATGCCGCCGAATCCACGTTACCAGTGGACCACCCGCAGGCATGCTGCCGAAAGCCACCTGACTGCTGTGCTCGGGGCGGCAAAATACATAGAGCCGCCCCTGCCCCTCCCCACGTTCCGACCGCTTCCTGGAGTGGCACGGAGGCAGGGCAGGCAGGCAGGGAGCCTGCCCTGCCCTGCCCTGCCCCTGGTGCACGTCGGGCTGGAGCTGCTCTAGGTAAACGCTGCGGGAGGGGGGAGGGAAGTGAGGAGCGCGCAGGCTGCAGAAAATAACCCTGTGGGCCATGTGTTTGAGACCCCTGGTCTAGATAATACTTAGTCCTGCCATGAGTGAAGGGGACTGGACTAGATGACCTCTCGAGGTCCCTTCCAGTTCTATGATTCCATGTTATACAACTGTAATGACCTTGCTGGTATGTGCATACCACTGCCCTCTGCAGGATGGAAGCTGAACTGCTTCGCTGTGTGTCATGGGCCCTATACTGCTAGTAGCTAATGGAGATTGCCATTTCACCCAGCTAGGTGGGGGGCTTGGCGGATCAGAGCTCTGGCTCTGAAGTTTGGCCTGGCTGTGGTATGAAGCCACATGGCAGCCCTGAACGGCCCCGGGTTTGTTACTCTAGAGTCTGAACAGGAGGACACTGGGAATCCAGCATATCCAGACGGCCCGGTAATGTTCTGAAAGCTGCTTTCCAATTTTTCAGTAACCTTTTTGAAGTGTAGATAACCAGAATGGGACACAGGGTCCCGGTAACGGTCCCACTAATGCCATATACCGAGGCAATGCCACCGCCCTACTCCCACTTGATATTCCTCTGCTTATGCATCCAATGGTCGTGTCCTCCCTCTTACCTACGACATGGCCCTGGGAGGCCATGTCCCATTGGTCATCTCCCACGGCCCCTAAGTCCTTTTCAGAATCACTGCACTCCAGGATACAGCCCCCGGTCCTGTAAATGGGACCCACATTCTTTCCTCCTTCACCTATGGCCTGTGAATTGCAGCACATTTCACCTACGACGGGTCAGAGTCACTGGCTCTGCTCTTTCTCATAGAGCGGGGGAGAGTGTTTCTGTGAGGGGGGGTTCACCCCAGAATTCTATCCCTGGGGGCCCTGGTGCTGCGGTCCCCATTCCAAACCCCACCACCGGCGCCCCCAGCTTCCTGTATCGCATCAATCAGAGACGTTAAGAGATGGAAAAGTCACGCGCGGTCTGTCTTCCCCGGACACTCCTCCAGCCCATGTCGGATTGGTCCCTGCTAAGCCCAGATAACTCCGTACATGGACCCTTCTTTCCTGGGCTCCCGGCTGCTTCCAGTGGCCAGCATGGCTCCCAGGGCTTCACTTCCTTGCACGCCTGTTTGAGCAATGGGGTCAAATCCTCGCAATGGGGAAAGGTGGGGAAAGTGATGCAAAGCAATCCGCATCGCCAGCCCCAACCACGCCACAGTCCTGAGTCAGGCCCCTAAAAGCTCATGAGATTGGCTTGGCAAGCTGTCCTGCGGGGGCTCAGGGGCGTGAGGACCCGCCTCGGGGCAGGCTGCTAAGAAGCAGGGCACAAACCCCAAACTGGCTGTGAGTTTTATACTTAGATTTCACTAACCAATTATCAAGTGTAAACTTCTCAGATGCTATAACAGCCTGAATATGGAGTCACAGACAGTCCCTTTGGGTACTCCGATCTCTCTTGCCACCCAAGTGAGCCTGCCTTTGTGACAGATGGTCCCTTACACCAAAGATCACAACAATATCCAGGTTACTCCCACTCCCAAAGGACCAGTCATTTACCCCAGGTCAGCTGCACCTTAGATCTCACACCAAAGACAATGCTTGTAGTCAATCCTACAAAAAACTCTCTAAAGATTAGTTAAGTAGGAAAAGGAAATTAGTTATTTACAAGGTTAAAGCAGGTAAACACAGATACACAAATCAGTTCCAATCTTAAGTTTCAAAAAGTCATAGAAGTTTCTAGAATAGGCAAGCTCTGTGTGTCTTTTGGGGCTAACCCAGGCCAAGCACTGGGGATCTTTTGCTTATGCTTAGTAACCCTTGCCCCTCAGCGACCAAGCAGCATGAAAGATACTGTTCCTCCTTGTCAGGGCTTTTTATTCCTTCCCCGCTTCTGCTTACAGTTGCAAATTCCGTGGGGTGGAGAGCAAACAACAGTCTTTTGTCCCCTGATGTTCCACAATAGCTCATCTGGCGTTGATTGGCCTCCTTTGAGGGACAGGAGACACCACCTCCTGTTGGCCACTAGTATTTCACGCCCGTTAATGCTCCTCTCCCGTCTGGTGATTTGCAGTTACAGAGCAAACACTTAAATGTCACCTTATCACATGGGCTACAGGTATTAGAAGTGAGATTAATGCAGGCAGCAACTTACAAGCAGTCCATAAAGTCTGTACACCAAACACATTCTTATCATTCCAATACCTATCTGAACAATACTAACACACAACTGAGCCAGACTGGTTTCCAGCTACGTCAGTGTTAAGTTGAGACCTAGGGGCCTTGGCATGAGCTGGCACCTGCTCTGCCAGCATCTCATGGCTTAAAAATCAAGAGACGTTTTTTAAAAACAACGAACGAGGGATTCTCACGTCCTCACATGACTCCAGGAGCTGGGGCTTGAAGGAGAATACTAATTCACATGAGACTTGCGGTACAATCGCAGGAGTTGGCAATACTGTGGTGTAAATGCATGAAGCTACCAGTGGTGGCTGCTTTTCTGGAGCGGATGACTTAGTCCCGGGACACGGCCCAAGGCACTCCCGACTCCCGTAGATGTTGGGGTATTTGAGGGTGCTGGGTCCCTCCCGGGGGGTTGGAACACACATGGGGACCCTTCGGCTGAGCGCGCCTGCAAAGGTTTCATTCTTCTTGCTGACAGGGGTAACTTCCTGCTTTGCTTTCTGTTCCCTGCAGCCATCCCGGAGTCCGACAGCGAGTCCTCTGAGGATGAAGAAGTGGCTACGGTACAGAGTCGTTTTCTGTTTTGTTTTTGTTCCCCAAGCAGAGATTTCCCACCCCCCCCCCCTGAATTTCCCCAACCCCCTCCCCAGTTTTGTGAACTAGTTACATGCAGCGTTGCCAATTTAGTGACTGTTTGGACATTTGAATTGAAACAATAATACACACTTTAAAAGCATATACAGTGTCTGATAAAATACGTGTCTGAAAAAGTATCAGATTTGAAAAGTATGAACATAGACTCGCTTCCTTATACGGCTGTTTTTGATGACCACGTCGGTGCGTTCATTCCGGTGATGTTGGCCAACCCAATCATTTCAAATGATGATTTGTAAGCGAAGTCTAAATGAGCTCTCCCTGACAGCTACTGATGGGCTGGGGCTGGGGGAAAGGCTTCAGGACCAGATTGTATTTACATTCACACCTAATCTACCCAGGTATCCAGCAAACAGAGCTGTGCTGCCCAAGTGATAGATTTTGGCTGGGGTTGGGTTACAAATCACTTGAATGCGGGGGGGCGGGGGTGGGTGTGAAATGTTGTTATTGTGTGAGTAAAGGGCAGTAGAATTGTACTTAGCCTGTGCTGATCGAGGGCATCAGGAGAGAGGGTGGGGACAGGTGTTTTGCTTGATGGTCTGCCTGAGTCACAAGTACTATTTGACCTGCCCCTCTTCGCTGTTTAAAGACAGAGCTGATTAGGCTCCATAGAGAGTCTTTTGTTTTGTTAAGTGACCACTACAGCTGAAATCACCGATAATCAGGTCTAAGTGCTTAGTCCTGCTGTTTCAGAGTAGCAGCTGTGTTAGTCTGTATCCGCAAAAAGAAGAACAGGAGGACTTGTGGCACCTTAGAGACTAACAAATGTATTAGAGCATAAGCTTTCGTGGACTACAGCCCACTTCTTCGGATGCATACAGAATGGGACATATATTGAGGAGATATATATACACACATACAGAGAGCATAAACAGGTGGGAGTTGTCTTACCAACTCTGAGAGGCCAATTAATTAAGAGAAAAAAACTTTTGACGTGATAATCAAGCTAGCCCAGTACAGACAGTTTGATAAGAAGTGTGAGAATACTTACAAGGGGAGATAGATTCAATGTTTGTAATGGCTCAGCCATTCCCAGTCCTTATTCAAACCGGAGTTGATTGTGTCTAGTTTGCATATCAATTCTAGCTCAGCAGTCTCTCTTTGGAGATACTGTGATATACAGTAAGTCTCTCTCTCTCAA